TGATTCAGTGACTGGGGTAATCGGGATGGGTGTGTCAGAGGCAATGCAATTGGCACAGGATAGAGCAGGGTTTAGGGCTGTTGTACATAAGGTCGCTATGAGTCGCAACGACTCGGCAGCACATAACAACAACAACAGAGGTTAATAATGGAGGAAATATTGGTTAGTGGGGAGAGCTTAATTTTAGAGAGTGTTTTACCTAATGTATATAATAAGTCTGTTTTGGACTATAGATTCTTGGATCCTTTCTCAAAGATAGCTCAAATGTATTAACCTCCTGTCCTCTGTTAACATCTTCTGATATATAGGAATGGCCACTTAATTGCCTTCAAATCAGTTCCAACTGATGGCTAATCCCATTTGTTAAGAGTAGAAAATATGTTAAGATCTTTGTTAAGATTTGTCAAGAGTAGAACTGCACTTCCTAACATTTTAGTGCCTGACTTTTCAGACATAAATCACCAGACTTTTCTTCCCAGGTACCTCTAGGCTGGCTTAAGCCACCCAACCTTCTGGTTAGCTGCTGAGAGCATTAACTGCACTACCCAGAGACTCAGACAAGAGTACACAACAAAGTTAAAAGTTGGCGAATTTTTAGCGTGGACTGACTTTGGACCAGTTCCTCAGTTTTTCTTCTAAAAGCCTCAGGTCAAGACCTCTAGTTTATGTTTATCTGTAGTTAACCATGAGTTGTCCTGTGTATATTTAATCTGTTTAATTTATAAACATCAACCTGACATTATTTCTTAATATTTTTTCTCAGCCTTGGAATGTCATTAATTACTGATCAATTGTAGGGAGTATCATCTTGTAGATAGACCTTCCCAGATTTTAAAACAATATTGTCCTCAAGTGTTCTGTTTTCTCCAGCACGATAAAATTCAAAATAATGAGGGGAAAAAGTTAACTTTCATTATCATGATTGCCTGTTAGTGGCAGGTGAATTCCTTGTTCATTCATCATCTCTAGTTTTTGAGCTAAGAAAGGCTAAATGTACTCTTTCTCTCCTCTTTGGCAGCTTCACTTGTCCATGAAGCTCAGTTTCTTCCTACTGTTTATCTTTAAGTCATTTAAACTAAAAAAGAAAAAAAAAGACTTTTTTTAATGTCAGGACAATAGTATGCTTTTAAATGGCATCTATAGGTTTGAGTAGGAAGATAGAGGAAAAAATGATTACTGGACTCATCCTAAAATAACTTCCAGGTGTTGAGTGTAGATGCTTTACCAGCTGACCTCTAAACTAAGTGCAGTTATTTCTGGGAAAAAATCAAAATTGGGAAGGGCGTACGCCAGGGATGCATCCTATCTCCATACCTCTTCAGCCTATATGCAGAACAGATTATCCGGGAGGCTGGGCTCTATGAGGAGAAATGTGGGGTCAGGATTGGTGGACGATTTATCAACAATTTGCATTATGCGGAT